TTCATGCGGTTCATAATTCTGCACAATGAGCCAGCCAGGTCGGACAAAGCTTGTAGATCACTGTTCGACAAGTGATCGTATTTAGAATTCAGAACTGATATTCCCATATACAACAAAAACGTCTGACTATACATCAATCAATAATTTAATCGATTTCTACATAAAACATTTTCGAAGAGATGGAGCGAAATGCAAAGCCCCTCGAGGGAAGGTTGTCTCCCCCTCAAGGAAAAATATTATTTTTGTTCCTTTACGTGACTGACTTATTGTAGCTAAAAATGTTTTCCTGTATTGAGTAGAGGAAATGAAATTATTTAAATGCTATACATACAGTTCGGTAGCAATTAGTCAAAGTGGGTAGTGAATATCTGCCCATTCACGCAAAAACTTATAAATCTTAAAATCAATCACACCGTACATTATATGTGACGGAATGTTGTAACAAATCCTACTAAAAGTCATTGTGAAACCGAAATGAAGTCGACGCTATTTCAGCGATAGTACGTCCGAGACATCGGCGGGAGAAATAGGCGATTCCCAAAGAACTAACAGAAGATCCAAACTGCACGATCGCGATCCGTTTCGTTTTGTAGGAAATAATAACAAAAATCTTGAGACGTTTCGTGGTGGTCGAAAAGAAACAGTCGGCACTAGCTTTGATATCGATAAATGCGCAACACTTTCAAAAATGTTCCGTGCGAGGGGAGTGTTGCAGACATGCAAAGCAGTTACTGGGGATATCTAAAATCGTCTCTCATAGTTGAGGGGGGGGCTATCTAAATCGAGCTTGTGAAAGGCAGAACTTAATTTTTGGGTGCTGTCAATACGTGATTTGGATAGAAGGTTTTCCGATAAGGGAACTAGTTTTAAAGAAGTTGAAAGTTGGTTGTTGAACTAGCAAAACAAATCATCTAAACAAGAAAACAAAACTTCATACTTCTCGGTACGAGACTGGGGTCTTGTTAAGTAAGTGATGAGATATATAATATTGTTAAGTAACGAGACTAGAATCTTGTTAAGTAAGTAATAAGACCAAGGTCTTGTTAAGTAAGTAATAAGACCAAGGTCTTGATAAGTAAGTAACGAGACTAGGATCTTGTTAAGTAAGTAATGAGACTATAATATTGTTAAGTAATGAGCCTGGGGTCTTGATAAGTAAGTAACGAGACTAGGATCTTGTTAAGTAAGTAATGAGACTATAATATTGTTAAGTAATGAGCCTGGGGTTTTGATAAGTAAGTAACGAGACTAGGATCTTATTAAATAAGTAATAAGACCAAGGTCTTGTTAAGTAAGTAACGAGACTAGAATATTGTTAAGTAACGAGACGAGGATCTTGTTAAGTAAGTAATAAGACCAATGTATTGTTAAGTAAGTAAAAAAACTAGGATCTTTTTAAGCAAGTAACGAGAAGGAAGGCTAATATTTGAACTCATATTTTTTGTATTTTTTATGTTTGAGTACAAAGCTACACAAAAATATACCGGCTCTTTGGCTAACAAAGGGAAATGAATCCCGGATCCTAGCGGTTTAAGTCCGTAAACTTACCGGTGACCCGACGAGGGAATACAATTTAGAATGTGGGTGAGGAGAAAAGAGGCTTGGCATGGAAAATTTTGTCAGGTATTAATTAAGAAACTAAAGCTGATATACAATATGACATTTTGTACTATCAGTTTATCAAAATATTGATTTTGTGCAGAGCGTAGAAGCAAATCACCTACTATAAACATACCCCTACCATCAGCGCTACGCAACAATAATAAATTCTGAAATAGAGCCAGCGGTAACAGGCAAGAAGAGGTCTGTAAGTTTCCAGTTTTAATGATAATATAATGTCGACAACAAAACGTCACTACAAGACTTGTGAACACTCACGGAACCCAGTTTTTGGAAGGGATGAATATATAAGATTTCTTAACAAATATCAATCGTGGCGTCTATTAGCATCATCACTAAAGATGACTGGTGATTGATGAAGAAGAAAGAGTTTGTCTTCCCCACGACTAATTAAGCATTTTCTCTGTTTATTAAAATGCGTTCTTCGTCTCCATTTCCGATATTCCAAAACTACCTGTACGTGATAAAGGATTCTTTGATAGTTGAGTCAGGAAAGGATTTGTGGATCAGTGTAACTAACCTCGTTTGTTTGTTTCAGAATTTTCGCGCAAAGCTACACAAAGGCCATAGTCGCCCCTACTTTTGACCTGATAAACAAAAAGGAAAGCGCAGGTTTTTACAGCAAAGACAGGTAAACCATGAATTCTTGGATTCACAAACCTGACACGATATCTAGTAGATCACACGACTTTATCTATAGAAACTATATTACAGCCTGTCAGTATTCGGTTTTATTGTTACGTTTGTAAGCATAAGTAGAATGGATAACTCCAATATACAGAATTTTCAAATATTAACAAGGAAAATGAATGTATTGTTACTTAAGTACAATTTAAACAGAAATATTGTATTCGGAGCAAAGTTAAAAGGCGCACACAATACACATACACATATACATATTAATTATATACAGTTATTTTCACATCAGGCCTCGATCTTAACTTTTGAAGGCATTAACAAATGACTGCTAGTTATTTTTAGTAATTAATGTATAATTAATGGTTTATTAATTACATGTTAATTAATTAATAAGGTGATTATGATGCAAGTTAAATTAATTAATTAGATAACTAATATGCAAATTGAAAACAATTATTATCTGATATTTTTTTATTAATTAAGGTTAATTAAACAGATAATTATTGTGCAGGATATAATGAAATTTAATATGAATAATTAATATCCAAACATTTGACGTCAGCGGATGTTTTCCCAAAAAACGAGACTATTTTTTTTCTCCTATATTTAATCTATCAGACTGTTATATACGTTCTATTCAGCATTTGACTTCATGTATAGGTATTATATTGTATTTTTTATTAATATGTCATGTATTACGATTTTATTGTCTTAACAAGCTAGTATACTAACTGTATTTCAAGATAGAAACAGTAAATCAACCTTACAAGAATTTACCGATATGAATCTCTGGGGCACAGATGAGAAAGATCAATTAATTTAAGAGTTATTAGATTTTTCTCTGTAAATCTTCTACATATGACGAGATCAAAATGTGTTAGAAAACGTAATAGTTCATTTCTCTTACTATCGTGTGTATACTACATCATTATTCTGAATAAAAGAACAACAACATGAGAATATATGTTATTATATGTTTATTTAAATCACAACAATGATCTGAACTACAACTGATGATAAATCCATAAATGGAACATTCACGCGAAAACATTTTACGACAGAGTTATGAGCAGTTATATCATTAATATTCTTATCAGTATTACATTTATTTAACAGTCTATGTTTTGACATATATCTACAATGATAATAAGCATAATATATACAATATTGTCCATACACAGACGAATAAGGTCATTGATGTACAGTTTTATTATAAGTTCACGTTTAACAGTTTTGTTTGATACATACTCAATTGTTGAGGTTATGTGGTGGCATCACAATATTCTCCTTTCCCATTTCGACCAAAGTAAATGCAGACCCAGTGACTTCCTGGCTTAAGACCCGGATCCAGGTTAATGACGTATAACTGGTGAAAATACCTCCAAGTTTCTCTCTCGTACACAAATCTTGTGAGAGTATAAAACAAATCTCTATAGTGTTCATAGCTTCTTACATATCAGTTATGATGTTCCTAAACTGATAAATTTCTAAAATGTACTGAACTTCAGTATAGGCGAGACCAATAATAGTATTGGGTTAGGCTTAACCAAAACGTATTTCTATTCACAAATTTCCCTGTTTTACTAAGTTAAAGTGTAAATCTCCAGCAGATAGGTCGAGTGTAAGATCAAATACAAAGAGTGTATATCCTCCAGAGTAGTCACCATATTACATATCAATTCCTTGATTTTGGAAGTGTTTTCCTGTTCCACTAAATAATGTTTCATAGTTTCGTACATACAGCTCAGAATCAAAATCTGGTTGTAAAAGTCGAGCAGGATCCACGTTGATTGCTACGAAATTGATACTGGAATGTTTGAGATTGTGTGGATTTTTCTTCCAAGATCTGTTAAATTCATCATTATCAACACATCCTATAACAAGACGTGTAGGTACTTGACCTAAAAATGCATTATCAATAGATGTTTGTAAGTTTCCCCGAAAAATTGAAAATGATTTACACTCTATATACTTAAAAGTTTATTTAGCTGTTCTTATCTGAAAGCAATTAACGTGTGACAGGACTGACGGACTGATTTTGATTTTTCTATGAGATTCCTCACTTGATATAATACAAAATGCATCTTTACTTCGTATGAAACAACGTTTTAAACTTACACCATTGGGCAATAACTTGCTTTGTAGATAGCCGCTCATGTCAACAGTCTGGCTACCTTGGGTATCTATATGTTGGTCTTTGATTCTATCGCTATCTCCACCTTTAAAGTCGAGATCGTCAAACTACCCGCCATGTTCTTTACCTACACAGACGATGTCAAATGGTTCCTCTTAGCCTCTCCATTATAACTCTGTACAGTTTCTATGTACGACTTATAGGGGTAAAGTTTGGTTGGTTTCTTTTGAATTTCGCGCAAAGCTACACGAGAGAAGGCAGCTAGTCATCACCGCCCATCACCAACTCTTGGGCTACTCTTTTACCAACGAATAATGGGACTGATCATCACATTATGTTTGGTGGGACGGGGATTCGTACCCGCGACCCTCAGATTGCGAGTCGAGCGCCCTAACCATGAATAAATGACAAAAGGAGAGTATGGGAACAATATATAAATCTATTTATTTACACATATATTTATAAAATCATTTATAATCCATTTAGATATGACATCAACCTTTTTAACACTAAAATGTAAGTTTTTTCCATTATTATGAATTGGACAGGGTAGAAAATTTGTTATAATCTGGAGTCAGTTGGTTTTCCCTTAATCAACTTCATAAATAAAAATTTGTAGGAGACTTCTCAACAGTTCGGTTTTCTCATTCCTCTTGGTAAGAATAACAGTAAAGTTTTGTCTTAGGAAACTAACCACATTCCACAGATAGGGATATCCGATGTTACCACTATCCCAGGGGATGTGGCGGATGTTTCGGGTCACCTGCTCATACTGGAGGTGGTCTATATCCGAGAGACACTGCACTGAAAACGGTTGTTTCAAGAAAAAAAACACCTATATAACCACTGACTAAACATTTGAATACTAGTTCTTTAATAGTGTATGGTCTGTGCTTCAGATAATTAATAAAGTATGACCCTTGCTTCAGATAAAATCCTTCAATATCTATCATGGCTACAGTCATCAAATGCTTGCTGAGTTGCATCTTCATAAGCTTATTCAAAGTATTTGACACATTTCTGGAATATTTGTCTTGCTAAGACATTCAACTGAGACTTGTCTCTCACATTTTTGATCAAAATAATATAGTGAGTGTTTAACTTGATGTTTCTCTACCCTAATGAAATAGATTATGCACAATATAAAACATAGATAAATTCAAATGGTGAGTCCCACGTGTAAAAAGTTGAGACACTTTCACTCATAAGATTGTGAGTAAACTTTCGACAGAACGGGTGTTAGGAACAGTTTGCATTAAGTTAGTATACAATTATTGAAATTCACTGGAGTAGGGTAAATAATATTGCGATAATTTGATAACACATTGAGTTTTACCACTTCCAGTTGGACCTGACACTAAGCGAGTAAATGGGTGCTGTAAACGGTAATCCATCTTAAACTATAATGATATTAAATACAATATGATTTATTTTATATATATATATGATCAGTCTCTCACAAAGTAAAGTGAATAAATAATTTAATACTGTATGGCAGTGTGTTAAAATCTGATAAAATGTATCTTTTGGTGTAAATGGGGGTTATGTTTTTATTATGTGACTTCTTAATGATAGATAGCGTTTTTTTTCAGACATATTTTCCTATCATTCGTTATTGTAATAGCATGCTGAGAAGGATTAATAATGTCTAGGATTCTGCTCTTCATTGAAGAGAAGTTTTACAACAGGACTTTCCATCTTCATGTAAGTATTCGTAATTCTTTGGACCATCACTGATCATGATGTGGTGTAATGGACATTAGGCTCGTTTGTAAATTCACTGAGATAAGCACTTATGGGGGGATCCTTAGTTCTATCTGAAATGTAAACAACATTATCAGTGTTGTTGTACAAAACAGACTAACCTAACATCTACTACAGTGAGTGGAACAATTTAGATGCACATGAGAAGTGGTGAAAGTCACCAGAAAGATGCTTGTTTGATCTTTCTGTGGCATATAATCGTGTTTGTGTCACCAATTAAGAGCAATAACTTCGTCATTAACTAGTGTAACATCTTGGTGCTCTTATTCATTAACAGGTGTTACGTTGGTCAGTTGTGATCTGTCCTCGGATATACCCCAATGACAAAGTTTTGCAACTGAACTACTGCCGGGATTAAAATCTATGTTTGCAGGGGTCAGTTGCGCTCCTTCCTTTTCAGCAGTCTGTCTAATACATTCCTATTTTGCCTCTAACGTAACACAGTGAGAGGGCCATCCTGAACTTTCCTGTTTAATTTTTAAAATCTGTCTATATAATTTTTAAACAGTTATGTGGATCCTTCAGGGAACTGACAAATTTCATATATTTTTAGAACATGATAGCCGCACTCCACTACTTTTTTCACCTCTTCTGTAACCCATGTGTCAATAAAAGTTTTTTTCCTCATCGGTGTGATTACATGGTGGTGGTATTCTTAAATTGACACGTGTTACAAAGAGGGAAAGTTAATTTACCGTTACTTCTCAAAGGTAAAACAGGATGATAGAGTTCCTCGGGTGTAGAATATTGCACTTAATTAAACCGAAATAATTATGTACATCTGAAAACTTTGTTGTAATGATAATGGGATGACCTACCATATACTCACAGTACTTATTCGTCCATGGATATAGTGACGTAAGGTCAAAATACTTGATTTTTTTCACCTTCCTTCACATCGTACAAAATTCTAATGCCATTGACTCCACCACCATATAAAATATCCTGTATGTCCAGGTGAGGAACTACTGTGTGGTCCTTAAGAAACCTAATTTCATTTGTATTGGTGGATTTCATATGTTTAAACTATTGTTCCCAGATCAAAATGACCTTTTACCCCAGAGTTCATAGTTTATGTTGTCCGTCCATTGTACACTTTCTAACAGACCACGTGGATCTATTTAGAACAATGTTCATTGTGTCAAGATCATAAGATAAATTACACCTGTGATAGTAACACCCGTAAAATTCATATATAGTGTTAAGCTCCTTACAGAAGTCGTCAACACTATAATTTAAGGGCACGTTGGATATTAATCTCTTCAGACTGCTGCAGATAGTCTAACAACTATATACTTACCTGACTATAGTAGTTAGATGTATTGTATCCATGGTTAGGTACAAGAGTTATATACTGCAGTGGTATAAACTTGTTTCTGTATATGTCCATGCATACAGAGGCAAAGGTTGTATATCTCAACGGGTCAATATCGCAGGTGGCGAGAAATTCCTCCCTGAACTGTAGACAGCACCTATGAAGTACCTCGATCTCTGATTGACAATATCTAAAGAGATAAACATCAGAATAAGTACAATAATGAATGACTTTTCATAAATTATTCAATAAAGTGGTACAAACATTTATATTGTTATATAATAGCTCTCAACAATAAGACTATGAAGGATGATGTTTTCTTACCAGGACATCTCATCTTGAAAGTCGATGATGTACCTTTCCTCTCAGTACTGTTGGTACCAGTCCAGAAATATTTCTCTTACTGGTGCTGTCATGGTGTTAGGTGAATAAAAGCTCATATTGGGCAAAGAACCTCGATACTTTTAGTTTAACCTTGTCTTAAACAGATGAGGAAAAAAATCCTTTCTGTAACTCAGTTATCCCAAAAGTTTAGTGGATGATGATAATAATGCCATAAGGATAAAGTTGGAACTGTTGATAACCCTCATTTTAAGGAGTTTGATAAAGTTTAAACTGTTAATAACCCTAATTTTAAGGGGTTTGATAAAGTTGAAACTGTTGATAACCCTAATTCTAAGACGTTTGATGGTCATAACCATTATTTTTCTGCCATTAACAATGATGTCGGGTTTTATCCCTTGACAGATAAGATAATTTAAAATGAAATGACCGTCAAATCCTATCATGTTATGAAATATGGCTGTGTAATTCTTATGTTCTTCAGAAAACAAAAACTCACAAGACTCATAACATGAATTGTAGCCTTTAAATACAGTCTCTTTGACTGTTCAAATCGTGGACCACACAGTAATTCACTTCCTGAGTTTCCATTTTTTGGTCAGTCTCAAAATCAAAAACACATATTTTTCGGGGCACGTTTTTAATATCTTTAGAATGGAGGAAACATAGATGTGTAGAGGGTATGACGATTTTTTTACATCCTGCATAATGTGTTTTGCCGCATCTGTGAAAATCAGGACAATGATTTTTCCCTGTTGATAATAATGAAACGCTTTTTGCACAGAAAATATTTTCACATGAAGAAACTGTCTGTTTGCCACTAGTCGATTACAATAACTCGCACAATGGTGCATATTTAAATTCCCAAACCCATTGTCAGAAACAGAACAGTACAAGGCTACTCCAAGGAAACCTTTCCTTGACGTGATAACATCAAAATGATTATCATGTAACCAGAGGAAAATATTTTGGGGATGTGTAGAACCTGGATAGATAACTCTATTGAAATTATATGAAGAATCAAAATTGATTTGAACATTTTGATATCGTTCAAATCTCTCTATTTCTTAAATTCCGCAAGATCATTCATCTGTGTAAGTAATAGTATTTGCTGATTTTGAATACTATTTTATTTTGGATATTTTTAAGGTGTGTGTTAGCACAACAGATGTCATCATCATAATTTTTTATAGATATAACCGATCATTTTTTTAAGTGATTGGCAATAATATTAATGATCATATACTGACTGCTACCTATGGGCATTTCTAAAGTAGTGACATCAATTTTAAACTATTTGTCTAATGTTATATTCTTTTTACTCTGATTAAGTTTTTCGATATTTGATAGGACTATATTGGGTGAAAGCATGATCTTGTCACCTAAGTATGTACTAATAGGTTTGTCTAAATTATCTAAATAAACACACACTCTAACTCTGTTGGTAGGTTTTAGGTGGGAAGTAGTCTCGTCCAGTATATCCTGTAAATTATTGGTAACAGAATTCAGGATATTCGTGAGAGGCTGCCCGTATGAGTCTTTACTAAACATGATATTATACGAAGTTGACATGGCATTATATTTTTCAGGTGTGGTGTTGAAAGTTTCCTAACATTAAAAATACCACATCCAGGATGTTCATTAGATGTCTGTAAAAGAAAGAAAAACATAAGAAGTAAATATGTAAAAAATAAGAAAATTGAAAATGTTTGAATTCAAAATATCAGTATAGATTTTGTAATCAATATAAGAAAATTTTACCCCTGTTTCATTTATGGTAGACACTCATTTGGGTCCTGGGGAAGTCTGAAAGAAAAGAAAAGAATCACATTGCACATAACTCAAATATGAAAATATATATAACTCTTCAACACAGGTCATTAGAGTATGTCTTTGACACAGATATTGAAATCAACTTACCATTTTGACAAGTAGTGGCTGAAGGTGCACTTCCAACTCATTATCAGAAAGATAAAGAAAGACACAATATCAAACGAGTAGAAATGAACATGAAATGTATAACTGAATAACATTCAATAACATTACATAAGAGTATAAAGAAACATAGAGTTAGTATCATAATTAATCGGAAATTAACTTGGTGTTTTTCATAGTAAATAGATGATTTGGCACCAGCTGTAGGTCTCCTATATTTATCAAGATCTCTTGGATGTAGAATGAATCTACATTGATTTGGTTGCCTTTTTATCGTAGACTGGTGATACATGAGTGTGTGTGAAGTAAGTATTCTTGGGATATATAATTACAAGTAAGCAAGGGTCTTGGGAAAAAAAATCCATGGTTTTTAGAGATAATTCGATGTATGTACTAGAAAACAACTTAAAATCATCCTATGATGTTAAAGAAAGTTTGCTCCCACTTCCTGTGGAACTGAACAAAAATTAACAATTGAGAGAGTGAACATTGATCTGGTTTTAGTATAGATTGAGATTGCATTGTGAACAAATAACTTACTTCATGAGAACAGTGTATGAGGTATGACAATCCTGACGGCATCGTGAACAAATAACTTACTTCACGAGAACAATGTATGATGTATGACAATCCTGACTCAAATAACTTACTTCACGAGAACAATGTATGAGGTATGACAATCCTGACCCAAATAACTTACTTCACGAGAACAGTGTATGAGGTATGACAATCCTGACTCAAATAACTTATTTCACGAGAACAGTGTATGATGTATGACAATCCTGACCCAAATAACTTACTTCACGAGAACAATGTATGATGTATGACAATCCTGACCCCATTGCCTGAAGCCCTGGTGCCATAAAAAGTCTGAGGACCAGTGCAGTCATCGTAGATAGTAGATATTCACTACTTCGCAAACAATGTTGTCGATAAAATAGGTCTAACTATACAGTCTGATTGAAATCAGTGTATAATAAATGAACTAAAAGAAAAGACCTACGAATAGTGTAAACTAACTGACATTTGACAAAACAGTGCAATCACCAAAGGTAGGTAACCTACGAATAGTGTAAACTAACTTATATTTGACAGAACAGTGCAATCACCAAAGGTAGGTAACCTACGAATAGTGTAAACTAACTGACATTTGACAAAACAGTGCAATCACCAAAGGTAGGTAACCTACGAATAGTGTAAACTAACTGATATTTGACAGAACAGTGCAATCACCAAAGGTAGGTAACCTACGAATAGTATAAACTAACTGATATTTGACAGAACAGTGCAATCACCAAAGGTAGGTAACCTACGAATAGTGTAGACTAACTGATATTTGACAGAACAGTGCAATCACCAAAGGAAGGTAAGTAGAAAACTGCCAATTGTCTGTAAAAAGATTTGATGCTTGACACGCCTCGTTCAAATAACGATTTTAACTTGTAAAGTACTAAATCTTTCTAGAATGTATAAAGATTAATTATTGAAATTAGAAACGGTAAATCACAACAGTTGTAAAATTCATTTATTTAACTATATTATTTGTCACACATATATTGTTTTCAACCGTGCTAACTGTCTTAATGAAAAGTGTTACGTATTACAATTTTGAAAGGTCTGAAACTGGGTTAATTGATAATTTAAATTTAGTAGTTAAATTGTACTTTGGATTTAGCAGTTAAGTAAAAGCCGATATATAGCCAGTTTATGATATTTACCAACAAGATTGATACACACAGTTTGCTTTTTTAAAACAAATATGTTTTATATACAAACAACAATACAATTTACATTAACAGTTATTACAAAGTTATTACACACAATTATTTATATACCCAAATTTTACAAACTTACAAGCAATATAAAGTCTTCTTTCTAGTCTGAAGCTTCCTTTATATCCTATCAAGGGTTCATGATGAGCGAGTTAATTAAAAGTCGATGTAGGTACAATTTGCTTAATGTGGAGCTAGCTAACTTTGTCCTTCATTGTTCACCAGCCACACACACCAAGTTTTTCCACGATGAAGTTATGTAATGTTTTCTTAAAAATACTAAAGTCTGATGAGAATCCACTGAAGTTGAATGATTTGGAATGTTCGAACTTTGTAAATGCTCCTGGTAAAATATCTGAAGTTTTCCAATTGATAAGCGTTATAACAGTCACAGTTATAGCTTCCGAAGTTTATAGCACACCAATAATAGATAATATCTTTTAGCGCAGTGCATCGGTTATATTTATAGGGGTGTGGAGGCTTTCTCGAATTTTCAGGTTTATGTAACAATACTAGTGCTAACACTAGCATTTATGTACACACACACATATATTGTTGATTCCCACTCTTGAGAATCTTTTACAACTTTGGAGAATAGGCGGGAGTTTCGCAATACATATTTAACACTATAAGCCATGTATGTTTCTAAATATAAATCTAATCTAAACAAATGTTGATATCAAAATAAATATATAATAATAAACCCGTCACAAAAGCAAAAGTATATTGCAGATCCAAAACACAGTCTGATTTGTGGGAAAATCGTCTTCTGACTTGAATACCAATTAACAATTAATTATTATAAAATAGTGTTAAGACATTAACAATTAACTTGTATTAATGACATATTAATAAAAAATATAACAGCTTTGATTGACACTCATAGATGAAGCAACATGCGAATCGAATGTATATAACAGTATGATAGCTTATATTTAGCGGCAAAAACAACCTCATTTCTTGAAAAACATCTGATGACATCAAGGGTTTGGAAATTATTACATGCATATTGATTAACCTTAAGTAACAAAGGTTAAATAGATATCAGTTACTTTCATTATGCATACTATTTTGCTACATATTTATTAATTTACATATTAATCAGTCATTTAATTAATTACCTGTAATTAATAACTCATTAAGTATTCATTTGCATACATGTACTTAATTAATTTATAATTTTTGCATCTAATTAATTAATTAATTAGCATATCATATGCATATTCATTACGTGTGACGTCACACTTCCGCGTCCACAGTGCCATGCCAACTACTTATAGTACTCCATTATTGAAGGCCACCCTGTGTTAAAAATATTTTACTATTACAAGTTATGGTTTAAATGTCAAAAGCTGGCGAAGTATTACAAGCCAACAAGCCTAATACTTATGTCAAACATGGACAAATTATGGGGAATGTTTAAAAAGAAACATACACAGTTTAAATGTTATATTATTATTATTATTACCTCCAATCAGCAGCCACTTGGGCATAATACTTCTAACCATACTCCCGGCAAAATGGTACTACAAGAGCCTGATGGTGAGCCAGCGGGCTGGCATGTATGCTAATTACCTTAGCAACCGAACAAACGAGTTATGTTGTTTTTCCTCTGTCTGATACTTAGCCTGGGTATGTCATGAGCAAGTGAAACAATCGTGTTAATCACAATTACAACAACAACCTTCTGTACTCAGAGTCGTGCGATGTAAATAACTGAAATACACGTGTGTATTAATTATCAGCAATACTAATCCTTATTCTGAAATATGTGCTAGGATTTTTTTTACTTGCTAAGTATTATTACTAAAATTACAACACTAATCAGTAGTCTACTAGTTTGATAGTGTTAATTTCAAACCCTGTTTCACTTACATTCTAATCTCAAAAAAGATGGATGTATTAACGTTTAAATGTGGTGTTTAATATATATAATAACACGAACTTAGAATGATAACTTAGGAAAGCCAGTGTTTCTCAAGAACACAAACATTTTCGACATTACATTGGTTTCTATAAGTTAAGCAACAAACCTAAAATACAAATATTGATAAAATGGTGCAAGATTTATTCACTAAATCTGAACTAAATGTCAGTGTTTACATTATACAACTTTTAACAAACCAAGTGTAAATGAAATTTAATGTTTAAAATGGGTGTTCAGGGAAAAAAGCAAGATCCTACGGAAACGAAGAACTGTAAACAATATAGGATGTTCATGGAGTGTTACGACTCCCCTGAGGGCTGCACAAAACTCACAGTAACAGCTAGATACATGGATGTCTATACAACCACCCATAGAAGTTCCTGCCTAGACCATCAAACTTCCACCACAACAAGAATCCTCTTCCATGACGTCCATGAACTGGTTGCGTGTCCGTTCCTCTAGATGAGTGTAAATAGCGAGTCACATTTTAGGCGAAATCGTGACTCACCTGTAAAAAGAACATAGCTCCATTTACACGATGTCCAAGAGACATGTTTAGAACACAATTTCAATCACTCCTCGAGGGAATACACACCACTGATCTTCTTGCACAGAGCTCTGTTTCATGCAGCCTTTTGCATATTTTTGAAACTAATACCAACCTTCATGTGCATAGATCCAAAGACAGTGGGGTTGGCGTAAAGGGTATTTTTCATCAAGCGCCAAAAGTGACAGGTATCCGTCATTTGCTGGGGTTGTGAACTGTCGTTGACTTTGTACTTCTCTTCGAGGAATATAGCTATTTGCATTTAGCCATTATGCCACCTGGGTCCGTGACAGCCCAGCTTCAAGTCTACCAATAGCTTGCTATTTCAGAGAATCGGTCAGACGATTACATCTACACACTTTGTGCAAATTACCTTTACACGGTTATTCTATCAGTGTTAAAACTACAATTAACGAGAGTCGGTATCCACGAGTCTTTATATAGACGCTAATTTAGATTTTTTGATGGGACCTTAAACATTTTTTATCACACGTTGTATTATGTACATAGGTATTTGTGCCCCAAATTTGGGGATTATGTCTTCCACCATTTTGGACGTTTACGTATTTTTGTTTGTTGCTTAACAACAACTATGAACAACTTTTAAGCGCTGAGACCCGGTGTGGGGATAATTTGGATTAATTAGTGAATCTTTTCTCGATATGAATTAATCACACTTATTGGGTCGATATCAAGCTTACAAAAAATATCAAACACACTAAAAGAGTACAATGACACACTTCCACTTATGGTCAGGCGGTAGGCGGCTATCTAAGCATTAAGGTATGGAAACACATGAATCGAAACGTAACAAACAGGCCGTCTAGCGGAGGATGATTTCCATATTTAGCAGTGAACAAGTAGTTTTACACACACATCAAAACGAAAAAACACGAACATCTGTTTAACGAAACGTGAAATAAATGAAAAGTTGTGTAAAATTATATAAAAAGATACTGCTCAAACTTTCAGTCTAAGTATTTTTCATTAAATTTTTTCATAGTCCACAAACAACGTATCAAATAAACGTTACAGTTCTGGATTATTCAAGAAGATAACTCACTACTGAATAAAATGTACTCTACAACAAGAAACAGCAGAACATGTACGTAAAATAAAGAAAAAAATCGTGTGTGTTGAGAGCCCGTACAATAAACAAGAGAATCACATGTGTTGAGAACCCGTACAATAAACAAGAAAATCGTATGTGTTGAGTTACAGCCATTCTGAAGATTTCCAGCACACGAATCAAAGAATACTTCCTTAAATGGGAGTTTAAACTTGATCACATTTTATCTGATATGTTACACGACTTCCAACTGCTGTTCGAATGTACAGGTCACTAGATAAAGGTCAAAGGTTATTTTGATGACTGTGAGAAAGCTAGGTCATGTGATACGTTACTGTAAGAGTAGACAACAGGCTTGTTTTGTTAGTCTACAGTAGTATTTGATGGGTTTGCACCGAGTGCAATATGGAAAAGGCATAGAAAACAAACAAAATTACTTTTTTTTTGTAAAATTGGTACTTGTAATGAAACAAAGGGGAAAGTTAATATCCATAAGACACAGAGATCACACAAAAACAGATAATACGATGTTACAATCACAGTGAACTTCACGACAGTTTTGAAACTAATAAAGTTAGTTCTCCCGGTGATAAACAACCAGCGGATAACGAAGACAATTGAAAGAAAAAGGAAAGAAATCCCTGTAAGCCAACTGTACTACATAGCACAAACTGACTTTACAATTGCGCCACTTTAATTAACGTCAACAATGGCTTCTGTAGCTAATCTCTGGATCAGAATAACTCATTTAATAGCTACTTTCTTATTAACAGAGAAGTATTACTAGGATCTTTTTAATAGAAATAAAGTAAACACTTGCTCTCGGTGATTAATTAATAGGTACAGCCTTCATGACACAATGTCTGTATACAAAACTTACCATCGTGATGCCTCGATATTATGGAATAATATCAAAGTATGTTTCCATAGGTTTAAAGACGCCATTGCGCGAGTTTTAGTTCCTCGACAAAACCACAGAAGTATAACTGACAGTAGATATATGTGATATTGGTTTCAGTGCCTTGCATTATCCGTAACTAACTAGAAAAACCATTGAACAGTAAGTGTCTCTGTGAGTAAATGCATTTATCTACATAATTCAGGGTACAATAAACTCACACCAGTAAAATCTCGCCACTTTCCCTCCGATCAGTTATTAACAAGTAGCGACAGTGGCCTTAATACGTACCTAGCCACAGAGACCATACGTATTGTAATGCTGCTTGATTTAAGGATCCGGGTTAAAGTGGTTATTGAATAATGTACACACTTCATGGGTTATACCACACATGAAGATATACTTCTATATAAGAAAACATTGTGCACATAGGAATGGAACTCACAGACACACAACTACTGAGGTGATTCTGTACAGTGACGTCTGATTCATACTCGTTACCCTGATAATTAGTGAGTTTTGTTTGTTTAAACTAATTATTAAAACACAAACTCTGGCTCAGGATGGTGAAGTGTACTTTGAACAGTATATCGTATGTACATCACGTGATTTAGGGGTCAGAATCATACTAAGTCCAAAATATCGTCTGTAAATCGGCATTCAGTTGTAGTATAACCTGCCCTTGATCGCTTGCATGTACTATGTGATTTGTAAATAAATGTATGTTTATTGTAAATATCTTTGAGTTTGTACTACTGCTGAAAATAACCATTCGTACAAGAACACATCGCAGACAAACACCAAGATAAGGGAAAAACAAAAAACACTAGTTGAAAACTTTCGTCACAATAGCTATGGAATTGTGAAAGGAATAATGGCGTTTTTTGTCTAAGTAACCGTGTGTGTGTTTTGTTACAGCAAAGCCACATCGGACTATCTGCTGTGTCCAACCCTTGATTTTAGTGTTGTAAATCCGACGACTTACCACTGTCCCACCGGGGGGACTCCAAGTACCCATAAATAACAGACTCAAACACTCGTGAAGAATTGGTTCGAGAGTACATGTTGTGTAAACAGACTCAAACACTCGTGAAGAAATGTTTTGAGAGTACATATTGTGTAAACAGACTCAAACACTCGTGAAGAAATGTTTTGAGAGTACATATTGTGTAAACAGACTCAAACACTCGTGAAGAAATGGTTCGAGAGTACATATTGTGTAAACAGACTCAAACACTCGTGAAGAAATGTTTTGAGAGTACATATTGTGTAAACAGACTCAAACACTCGTGAAGAAATGTTTTGAGAGTACATGTTGTGTAAACAGACTCAAACACTCGTGAAGAAATGGTTCGAGAGTAAATATTATTTAATCAGACTCAAACATTTGCGAAGAAATGGTTCAAGACAAAATGCATACACCGAAATATATTTTGGGGATTGATCACAGTTTAGAAGAACGATGTTCCAGGTTCTGCACTTTCTCTAGAACTACTACTTCCAACGTTGCTTGTGTTTCATCTAATGGTCATGCTTACTTACTTTTACCACCGTAACCAAGTTCTTATATTACACACACATATTGATAAACTTTTCAAATATATTCCAAAACCACCTTTTCTCGGACTAAAAATACAAAAGGTCAATTTCAACCGAAATAATTTAGGTATGACTGAAAGCTATTGATTTTTGGCTTGTTAACCTTTGTCAACACAAACCTCTGTTTATTAGTTTGTTAATTGTACCCAACTTCATCTCAATGGATTCCGCTGGTCAAAGGGTTCTCTTTCGTAACCATATCCTTCAGTTTTTTATGTGTGGATAAGGACCATTGTATTGGATTGGCTTGAAGTATGGTTTCAGAGAACATTGCTTTTTTTAACCTATTAGTCGGTAGTATTTCGCACACTAGTTGGAACATCACAGAAATGTTTCTAGTTTGCCGAATGAAGTGTTAAACGCTCTGCCATGCGAGTTTTCCCGCTTCCATGGAGATCACTAAAGACTCCATTCTTCAAGATATTATATATTCTGCCTTTAAATTGTTTATTTATATCGCTATAAGGAAAGAACTGTAACATACCTGTTCAGCCACAAACTAGTTTAGCGACATTGCACTGTCAAAATGGTCGAAAATTCGCCGTGAGCGAAATATATAGGGGATGAAATATGTTAAGCATATGTAGCAACAGTTCCACTGAACTAAAACATACGAATCGTTCTTACAACGTATGATTAACCCTCTGTATTTCCTCGGCATGGTATTGACAATTTCCTAACCCTAACGTTCACGTAACATAACATAATTTCACATCCCTTAACACTAATACATTAATAATTCTTACCTCGTTAACAGGGGGGCCTGTATTTAAACACCGATCTTACTTGTGCTCTCTTATTTAACAGATCAGTCGTGTAGTTTTCATAGGTAAAACACTAGAAGAAACGTTAGCATTAGTTTTAACCAAACTCTTAAAATGATTCTCAGAACTTTGCAGCTTTCGTCATTAGCTTCTAAGATCCTCTGATGTTCAAACTGTCACACGGCCTTGGGGGGAAAAAATGACATACATGGCATTACGTAATCCTCGTGGTAACTCTCAGTAGGTGGCAGATATAACTCTCCTGTATTAAGCTATTTAATATAACATTTTGATTTTTTTTTCTAGCCATTCCGTATATATAAACAAGGGTAGATCGTATTTATTATCACCGTATAAAGCGAAGGATGTACAGTCACTGACATGAAAAAGATCCCACTTAAATGTATAGATTGTACAAACAAGCATAGCTCAAGTTCGTATACGTGTACATATTTGTTGAACCCTAGAATTAAGGTTTGTTGTCCACAGACGATGGTCCTTTTAAATACATTTCTCATAATTATTGATGCATCAAAATGCGTATGGGTCGATAACTTTGTTGGTTACAGGATTCTTAATAATATACAAGAAATGTAAACAAAAACATCATCAATATTGCAATTAATCCCACTAATTACTGCCAGGATTTCCTATGCATTTTCCACAGAAAATAAACGTTTTCACCCAAATTTTGGGTCATTTCTTTACAATGATTGAATTGTTTATTTAATAAAACATTTTAATGACGACAACTAATAATGTAGAAATATCAGAATTGTCATTACCTTTCTTTCAAATAGCTTTTTCTGTAGATTTAGATGTGTACATTATTTAGTGTTACTGATAACATGATACAATCATTTTGATAAATCTTGGATAAAGTCGTCTTTCTCTACACTATTCCAGAAAGTTTCATTGACAGAACCTGATAAATTTAACTGTGTTAGTCTTTCATTAAACATAGATTGAACAAAATATTTATTCACTCTTCTCAGTGCTGATCTTAAATATAACCATACATACATATTCATCAGGATTTAACATGTTAACAGAATGATGAGTTTGACTAAGATCGTCAGTTTCACACTTTCTTCAGCACTTCTAAAATAGGGTATACTTGTTCGGCGTATATATGAATAAGAATTGATTTAATCTGATTATTCAATTATTTTTTCATTATGAAATATAGTATTTAAGTAAGTATCAAAATTGAAACAAAATCTGTGTATATAAACTTTGCCATTCTGAACCTTATTATATGTCATATCAATACCATGATAATCAAATAGATATGTAAGCAAAATAGTAGGGATATTATTAACACACACAGCACGAATTACATGATTCCGTCCTTCTAGCCCTAGGCCCGGCATGACCAGGTGGTTAGGGCGCTCAGCTCGCAATCTGAGGGTCGCGAGTTCGAATCCCCGTCACACTAAACATGGTCGCCCTTTCAGCCATGGGGGCATTATAATGTTATGGTCAATCCCACTATTCATTGGTAAAATAGTAGCCCAAAAGTTGGCGGTGGGTGGTGATGACTAGCTGCCTTCCCTCTAGTCTTACACTGCTAAATTAGGGACGGCTAGCGCAAAATTCAAAAAAGAAAGAAACAAACAAACCTTCTAGCCCCGAGCGGCACAGCGGTATGTCTGCGGACTTACAACACTAGAATCCAGGTTTCGATACCCGTG